AATCTACGTAGCTTAAACACTCATAAGAGAAGATATAAAAAAAGTAGTGTGCTTGCTCTAATCCTTCGTGTAGTTAATTTTTCTCTAGAAATCCTTTAGGTAATTTGCACCAACTATTGGCTTTGATGAGAAAACATTTTTCTCTTCTTTTTCTTGCTTATGCTATTTTTCTTTCCTTTTTTCTCGGATATGTTTTGCCACCTCTCTCACCTTTATTTATATAGGGCGACAACATCTCCTAGTAGGTCAAGGAGATGTTGCCTATGTGGACTTTATCTAACCTTATCCTTACAAACCCTAAGTCTTATCTAATAGGGCTCAAGTTTATCCTTCTACCAAAATATCTTGTAAGTTTTTAACTTAAACATATTGACCTAAACTCTTTTGGCCCAATTAATTATCAATTTAATTTGTATCATCCAAATAAATTAGGTCAAGTATTTTAGTGGAGCCCATATTAGGAAATGATTTTTAAATTACCCTTAAACCTAAATTATGAAACTAATTTCCTTTTTAGGTAATTGACTTTCAAATTAGGAAACTAATTTCTAAAATAGAAAAATTTCCTTCTTAGGAAAATTTTTCCAAAATAGGAAACTTTCCAAAACAGAAAAAATTTCCAAAACTCGAAAGCCTTTTCCAAAATCTTTGCTTCTCTTTTATTATTTGAATGTTTAAACTCATGTGTGTAACTCAATAGGTTCCTAGATATATTGACAATGTATTAAAAATAAAAATAAAAACATCTCTTTTATCTATTGATACATAAATCAAGATTGACCTTTAGTAAGGTATCACGGCCACCCAATTCTCTAATAAGATTAATTAACCCATAATTATCTTTCACAAGCATGGTTATCATACAATTTAGTTCTCATATCAATGTACCATAATGTGATCTCGAACTTAGTTTATAGTCTCGTTTGATTATGATCACATAAGTTTTTCTTTGATTCCCAAATGTCTTAGCTCTAAAGTAAACCAACTATACTCTATTTGCGTACTCCCACTATGGCTACAGATTCCTTGAGAAAACATTCATCAAAGTGCAATATGATAACTTCTTTAGTATATAAGAAATGACATGTCATCCTACATGATGAAACCATTGCATTTTACTTTTTAAGATAAGCCATCCTACACAATAAGGCTATCACATTTTACTTTTTAGGCAAGCCACCCTATACAATAAGGCTATCACATTTTACTTTTTAGGGAAAGCCACCTTACACAATAAGGCTATTGCATTTTACCATTTAGGACAAACCAACCAATACAATGACGCTATCACATTTTCTTTTTAGGGCAAGACACCATGTATAATGGAGCTATCACATTTTACTTTTTAGGATGGTCACCTAGGACAATCGGACCATTTTTTGCCACTTAATTTACTTTTTTCTTTAGAAGCTCATTAAGCAAGCATAATCTAAAGTTTACACTTCGGCTAGTATTTTGCACCATAAGCATTATAAAGAAAGGACAACTTTCATTATCCAAATTTTGAGTTATATATTTTCCTCTAATTTCATTCTTTTTATTTTTATTATATCTTTATTTATCTTATCTTATCTTATCTTTTTTTTTAATTTAATTATAGTATAAAAAAAGAGAAAAGGATAAAAAATGCAAAAAAAAAAAAATATTAAGATATAAAATACAAAATATTATTATTGGATTGATTAGGGACATGATTGAATAAAAATCTAAACTAAAATTGAAATAATTAAGGATACCATTGAAACAATTAAAACCCCTAAAGCTAAAATTACAAGGTACAAGGATCTAATTGAAAAAATTAAAAATATAAACACTACAATGACTCACCCAAATGGTACAATTGAAACAAAATTAAACCTACAGAGACCTAAGTTACATGAGACATGAATTACATAAGTAATTACCTATCGTCCGAATCCTTTCAACTTTGCCATGGCACGTCTACCTTGTACAATAACATCCTCTCGGTACTCGTTCATCTCCATTAATGGCTAGAGGGATAAAACAAACCTAAACTTATAGCTCTTGCACTTGTGGCTCATGCATTTACACCAACATGTACAACAAAAACACCAAAACAAGTAAAACATAATCCATAGACATAAAGCATAATTGTTTTAGCTCTATTCATATAGAATCAAAATTGAGAACAAAATCTAGAGAATTTATTATGTTATGGGGGAGTTTTGGATTTAAAGGAATTGATCCCAAGAGTGAGGAGGAGGATTCTTAGATATAAATTAGGGTTGGTGTTAGGGTTTTAAGGAAGAGCGAGGAACTATGGGAAATCTCGGAGGAATTGGAAGAGAAAATTTTAGAGAAAGAGGGAGAAATAAAGAGCAAAAAAGAGAAATAATTAAGGGTAAGAAAAACAAAGAGGAACAATTAAGAAAAGGAAGAACAATTGGGTGACAATAAGATCAATTGAGGGAAAGAGAGGAGAAAGAGAGATTGTAAAGCAAAGATAGTAAAAGTAAAAGAAACAAAAAATAGGGGAAAACCTATTCCAGTCATGCTTTTAAGTTTTTGTTACGAGAGCCCCTCTTGCCCATCGAAGCCGTAATTGCTACTATCATCGCCCATATTCAACCTAGGCTCCCTTAATTAGATACCTAGGTAAGATTCTCCTTTTGATTTATGGGGAGAGTTTTGGACTTAAAGGAATTGATCCCAAGAGTGAGGAGGAGGATTCTTAGATATAAATTAGGGTTGGTGTTAGGGTTTTAAGGAAGAGAGGGGAGCTATGGGAAATCCCATAGGAATTTGAAGAGAAAATTTTAGAGAAAGAGGGAGAAACAAAGAGCAAATAAGAGAAATAATTAAGGGTAAGAAAAACAAAAATGAATAATTAAGAATAGGAAGAACAATTGGGTGACAACAAGATCAAATGAAAGAAAGAGAGGAGAAAGAGAGATTGTAGAGCAAAGATAGTTAAAGTAAAAGAAACAAGAACATAGGGTCAAACCTATTCCAAGTCATGCTTTTGAGTTTTTGTCACGAGAACCCTTCTTGCCCATCAAAGTTGTAATTGCCATTATCACTACCCATATTCAACCTAGGCTCCCTCAATTGGATACCTAGGTAAGATTCTGCTTTTGATTTATAGCTCTAATTGCATCAATGTAGCCCTTGGCATTTCCAAGACGAACGATAACAATTATACTCATCACTACCATCTCACGTAACCCTTTTTTTTTTTAATTTCTCTCATTGTTGTATTTGATTTTATGAGAAACAAGGGTTTTGATGGCTCATAAGGGTTATATTTTAGGGTCACTCGGGTCAATTATGGGTTTAGTTTTAGGATTTGGGGGCTGGATTGAGATAAGGGAAGTGACCTAGGTTTTGGGGATTTGTGAGATGGAAGAGAAAAGAAGGATTTGAGGTTGCATAGAGGCTTGATTTTGGGTTTTCCGTTCAATTTATAGTTTTGATTGAAGATTGAGATTGGGTTAGGGCGGAAGATAAAACCTAAAGTTTGGGATTTGTGATATGGAATAGAAAATTAATCGAGGGCTTAGGTCATCTAAGAGGGGAACTTAGGAAAAGAAACGGACTAGGGATTGAATTTTTGGAAAAGAAAAAGATATCGATCGTATGAGATGGAGAAGATGAACTGGGTTGAGGTAGGAGAAAGAACTTAGGGTTTTTTATTTGAGATGAGAAAGAAGAAATCGAGAGGCTTTCTAGGTTATGGATTACGGTTTTTCTTTCATTTAAAGGAGGAGAAGAGATCGTTTGATCTCGATGGAGTTTGCAAGAGAGGTTAAAGAAGAGGAAGAGAAAGAAGATCAATTTGGGTGTTTTGATTTGGGAGGAATTAGGTCTAGCTTAGGAAATATGTTTGTAAACACGATATCTAGCCGATACAAAATGAGAGGAGAGGTGGCTTAGGCCCGACCCACGTGAGGGGTTGAATGGGCTAAGCTTAGGCCCAACTCGTGCAACCGTGCTTGAGCTAAATTCTACCCGACCCAAGCCCATAAGAGTGAAAATAAGGTGGCCGACCAGATGGGCCTAAAAAACCTAATACCCCTAATTTAGCCATTTTTCTAGATAAATTAACTCTAAAATTATCAATACATGCCTTTTATTTTATGCCTAGTTTAGATTTAAGATTTTTAATTTTGAGCCTCTTACATTTATTTATTTACTTAGTTAATGTTTAGTTTTTAGTTTTTATTTTATAATGAGATTAGATAATTAATAGGTGAACGAATTGTCGAGTCTCCTAATTTTTAAGTACCGATGACGACTCCCCACCAACAAAAAATAATAATAAAAAGAAAATATTAGATAAAAAAGAAATATATATATATAATACTAGGAAAAAATTAACAAAGTCTCTTATCCAATTATGGACCGATATTAACTCAAATCAGCCATATTTTAGTAATTAGGTTGTTCTTCGATATATCGGTTATATCAAGACTTAAACTAGATCTAATGTTGAATTAACGAGACTCCCGATAGTAAGGTCCGACGATCGATTCAATATAATGTCACAAATAAAATTAAAAAAATTAATTTGGTTTAGGAAATATAACTTGAAATTTTGACTTGTGATCAATTTTGACAAAAAAAAATAGAAATTTTTTTGAGATAAATTTTAGCACTAAACTAGACATAGTAGCTTTCTTAAGAAATGATATTTTGGGATGATTGATATATTTTTGAAGACATAACCAATTTCTTATCTTAGAATCTCCGAACTAGTATTCATTTTAAGTTTTTAGTTACCTTTAATACTAGATGACAACTTCAAAATGAATAATAACTCATAATTTCAAATAAATAAAATTTTCAATCAATAAATAAAATATTTTTAGGAGTCCCACTAACATCGGATAGTGACAAATTTTATATATTATTCATTAATTATTTATTTATTTAATATAAAATATATTAGGATTTTAGTGAGTTATTAAATGAAGGTATGTATTATGTGCATACATCAATCTTTTAAATAGAAAGTATCACCCGCCCACTTGTCTTCAATAATGGAATCTTCGATATCCCCTTTACTGCTCTTAATCCCTTCAACAAAAACTTATTTTCTTCTCTTACTACAAATCCCACTTCAAGTCTCAGTCCATGGCCTCTTCCATACTCATCTCCACCGTGGAATACCCACCAATGTAACAAAACACCTTTACTTCCCAAATTTCATACCAAACCCGACCACTAACCACATTAAACTTCTAGGAAGTGCAATAATATCACAAGACAAAGGCTTCATTCAAATTCCTGATCCATCACCAACACTTAATCATTCATACCAATCAGGCCGTGCCATCTTCTCCTCCCCTATCCGCCTCTTCGAGCCCCTAACTCTGGCTCCCGCCTCCTTCAATACCACCTTTTCTTTTCATTTCACTACCGACAAGGAGTTGGTAGCTAAGAAAACTAAAGGAGGGAATGGCCTAGCCTTTGTGATTGTCCCAGATGAGTTTACTGTGGGGAGACCAGGCCCATGGCTTGGGATCCTCAATGACGCATGCGACCATTACAAGGTTCTCGCTATTGAGTTTGACACTACTCGTGACCCTGAAGTTGGTGACCCAAATGATGATCATGTTGGCATCAATCTTGGCAGTATTGTTTCTTCCAAGGTAGCTAATTTATCACAAGCTAAGGTTTCGTTGCATGATCACTTGGTTCTTAGAGCTTGGATTAAGTATGATGGTTATAAAAGATGGATTGAAGTTTCTCTTGGTTTAGATGGAGATGAAATTCCCTTAAACCCAATTTTATCATCATCACTCAATCTTGCTCCTTTCTTGAATGAGTACATGTTTGTTGGTTTCTCTGCTTCCACGGGGAATTCAGCACAGATACACAATATTCTGTCATGGAACTTTACTTCTTCAATTCAAGCTTTCCTTCATCTCCCTTCAAAGCATATATGTCATAAAACTGTTGCCCGCCAAGTTTCCAAATATTCTAGTACTGCTGTCAACCACTCAAATCCTCCAAGCAGTTTCTTAATCTTTGTCTGCGTAGTTGGGCTAGTTAGTCTGACTTTGTTCAGTCTCTACTGCAATAACAAGCCTCAAGGGGAGAGCTCATTGGCTTCTGTTTTTCCTAAGAAGCGAAGGCCAGTGCCTCCAAGCATACCTCGCCAGTTCACTTATTTTGAAGTTTGCAGAGCTACACGCTGTTTTAGCCAAGCAGAAGTGCTGTCCAACGACTTAAGAGGGGTGGTTCTATATAAAGGAACTCTTGAAAACGGATGTCGTGTGACGATAAAGCGAATCTCAACCAAGGTTCTGAATTCTTTTCGCGTTGAATGGAGGCGAATCGTAAAGAGAATATTTTCAATAACGAGTATTTCCCATCCATGTTTGGCCTCAATTCGAGGATGGTGTACCGAGAAGGAGATGATTATTGTATACGATTATCATCCAAACGGAAGCCTTGACAGATGGCTTTTCGGACTCGGCGTTCTTCCTTGGGCACCGCGATTCAAGATCATCACAGGTATTGCTGAGGCACTGTGTTTCCTTCACTCAAAAGAACTAGTTCATGGAAACTTAAAGACAAGCAGTATTTTTCTTGGTGTTAACTATCAACCCGTTCTTGGTGACTATGAGTTCAATCGTCTCCAGGGTGATTCGGGAAAATTTAAGATAGTCTGTGGCAAGAAATCTGATGTTTTCCAATTCGGAATGCTTGTTTTAGAAATTGTTGCAGGGAGAAGAAAATTAGAGAGTGACAAAGATAAGGATCTGCTAAGTTTTGCATGGGGATTGCATGAGAGAGGGGAGAAATTGAAGGCAGTGGATGAAAGATTGGGACCATGTACAAATTGGGAACAAGCGGTAAGGGCTTTGGAAGTTGGATTAAGTTGTACTTTGAGTGAAAATAATGGCAGGCCGTCTATGGAAGAAGTGGTACAATTCTTGAATATGCAGAAGCAGATTCCTGAACTGCCTCTAAGTGGACCACCAGTCCGCTCAGAGTAATTGTTGCATTTATTCAGTCTATTGTAGAATAATTGGTGTGCGTGTACTCTTCCAAATCTGCTTTGAGAGCACCGAGCAGGCGTGCAATTAGTTTAGTCTGTGCAATAATCAGTCTATTATGGATTCAAAACATGCTAGATATCCTGCGCTAATCCAATATGACTACTTTTGGGTGCTAAGTTGACCCAATCAGGTTAGATTTTTGTGATGGTCAAGTAATCCATGAAAGGTTTATTTTTCTATCCGAGTAGCCAGGGAAAGTAAATTTGAAATCGCAATAATTGACGCTATGCTGTGGTAGAGGGGGGAAAAAAAAAGGAAAAAAAACTTTCATAGATGGGCTGCTCAAAAGCAAAAATATTAAATATTTCTAACATTATATCAAATAGAATAACAGTATTTTCACCACAAGAAAAACATTTTTTAGTGATGAAACTTTAACGACGGTCAAAAAACCGTTGCTAATTACTAAAATTAGCAACGGTTTTATTGATTTTAGCAACGGTCTAAAAAATGGTTATAAATATTTTAATTTACGATCGTTTTTTAGCAACGGTCTATAAATCCGTTGCTACTTTGAAAGGTTAACCATTTTAGTGACGGTTTTCATGAAAAATAAACCATTGCAAATTTAGCAACGGTCCAACCCGTCGGTAAACCGTTGCTAAGGAGATAATTGGGATTAGCAACGGTCACAACCCGTTGCTAAACCGTCACTAAAGATTATTTAATATTTTTGCAATGATTTTCTATAAAAAAAACCGTTGCAAAAAAATTAAACATTTAGCGACGGTCCGGTCGCTAATCCGTTACCAATTGGGCTCGGGCTGAAACGAAGGCAAATAACCCGCATTGGCAACAGCTTGATATCCTAAAACCGTTGTAAAAATATTCGATTTAGACCGTCGCTAAACCTTTGGTAAGCGAGGTTAACGATGGCATAAACCGTCGCTAAACCGTTTCTAACATAATTAAATTTATGTTTTGCAACGGTTTTGCAAAAATAACCATTGCAAACACACAATAAGCGATGGTCCCGTCGCTAAAAGTAAACCGTTGGTGGGAAACGATCAAATTTAATTTCAAATATAATTTTAGCGACGGATTAGTAACGGTCCGTGACCGTCGCTAAAAACTTTACCATTTAAAAGTTTCAGTCGAACGAAAATCCGGAATCTCTCTTCTTCTCCTTTCTTCTTCTCCTCCGATAGCGACTTTATCCGTCATTTTTTTGCTCCAAACTTCTCCTCTCTTTCCTCAAAGCTTTTGTATCCTAAAAATCTCCCTCTTTCTTCCCTCTTTACCTCCTCCTCCTTTCAATCTTTATCTCTACCGTTCAATCTGTCGTTTTTCAACGATCATACTCCGACGAGGTCTCACCAGCAGTAGCTACCCCCTCTCATCCTTCTCTCGGGTGACAGGTCCACCTAAATCTAATCCCTCCTTTCAATTTTCAATTTTTTCAGTTATTTATTTAAGTAAAATATATATTTTTTAATTTTTTTAATTACTTATTATTGTTAGTTTAATTATTGAATTGATTGTTTATTGCATGTGTTTTTTTAATTTGATTATTTAACTAAAATTTATTTGATGTGTTATTTTAGTGTAAATTGTGATAGTTAATTGAAATGTTTAATTGTTAATTTAATATTAATTGTCAATTGTTATGTTAATGTTATTGTTAATTCTTGATTAATTGAATATTATTGTTAATTTTTAAATTTACTATTATTTTTATTTTTAGTTGTTGATTGAATTAATTTGATTGTTAATTATGAATTTACTTACTTTAATTTATTGTTAATTGTTTTAGTTAGAAAATATAATTGTTATATTTTATTTTATGTTGTTATTGTTATTGTTATTAGTGTAGCTACTAATTGTTAATTTACTTAAGTGATTAAAAATTTATTGAAAACATTATTAAGTTTATTTATTACTAGTTCATTAAGTTAAAGCATTAGGTAAGTACAAAATTAATCAATAAATTAAATATTAATTAAATTGTAATATATTGTTATTTTGTTGATTAAATATTAAGCTTATATATTTAGTTGTTCATTTAGTTAAATAGATAAGTAATTACAATATTAATTAAGAAAAAAAATATAGCATTTTTTCGAAAGTATGAAAAATACTTTAAAAAATTAAGTTATGAAAAATATGTTAAATGCATATTAATTAATTTTAAAAATAAGTCGTATTAAAAAAATTAATATATACTTGTTGAATATAGTTTTATTACATTATTAAAAAAAATTTAGTTTTTCCGAAAGTATATTAAATAGATAAAAAATAAAGTTATTAGAAATATTTGTAATTGTTAGTAATTAAATAAATAATTAAGTTGTATTTAAAAATTTGATATAAACTTAGCTTGTTTATTTAAAAAATAACTTGTGTGTAACAAAAAAATATTTGAGATTTAGTAATAAAAGTGTTTTAAGTAATTACAAAAACAATTAATACAATTACTTGATTACTATTTTGTTTAAAATGAATTCGTATCGCTCTTGGATTGACTTTAGATTAACTGGTGGATTATTAAATGAGCGTTTTGTAGAAAGGGTTAATGAATTTATTAATTTTACGGTTAGTCATCTACAATACATGGATGGAAAAAAGATACGATGTCCATGTAAATAAAAAAAATATCAAAATCATAGTTATGAAAACCCTAATACCATTAAGTATCATTTGCTGAGATATGAGTTTGTGTCTAGGTATTATGCGTGGAGACGTCATGGAGAGAATGATTTAGCAATTAATGACAATTCATTTAATAACGTTGAACAAGAATAAATATGTGATGATCGTCAAGTTAATCAATACCACATAATGGTGATGGATGCAACTGGTCTATCTTTTAATCCGTCTAATACGGACGAAGACCCAAACCCTTCGCACAAGCATTTTATGATTTATTAGATGGATCGAATAGAGAAATATGACTCGAGTCGGAAAACCATTCGCAGTTATCCGCAATGTCTCGTTTGTTGCATCTAAAGTCCGAGCATCATTTTTTGGAGAGGTGTTACGACTATTTATGTTAACTTATGAAAGAGTTGATGCCTTCCGATAACTGCATGCCGAAGACTTTTATAGTACAAAAAAATGATAGAAATGATGGGTTTATCGTTGAAAAGATCCACTCGTTGCATGAATGGTTGCATGATTTATTGGGGTCGGGACGACGAGAGAATCACTTGTAAAATATGTGATCATCCTCGATATCAAAATCCTAGGCAGGGGTCGATTAGACAAACATTTATCCTCTATAAAAAAATGTATTATTTTTCGATAACCCCATGATTACAAAGGATGTATGCATCAAATGCCACCGCTAATGACATGACATGGCATATGCAACATGTGTGTGAGCCCAACGTCATGCGTCATTGTTCGGACTCCTTCGCATGGTGACATTTTGACCAAACACATCCTTCTTTTGCATCGAAATTAGGAATGTTAGATTAGGTGTTTGCACCGATGGGTTTCAACCATTTGGTAAGTCCGGACAACAATATTCTTCGTGGCTCGTCATTGTAATGCCTTACAATTTGCCTTCATGGAAATGTATGAAAGAAGAATATATATTCTTAATCGTTATTGTCCCCGGTCCTAAAAATCCTAAAATCAATTTAGACGTATACTTACAACCCTTAATTAAAAAGTTGATAGATTTATATGAAGTAGGTGCCCTTACTTATGATGTTTCTCGTAAAAATAATTTTCGGATGAGAGTCGCTATCATGTGGACAATTAGTGACTTTCTTGCATATTCAATGTTATCGGGTTGAAATACTACGGATAAGACAACATGCCCGTATTGTATGAAAAATTCGGATGCTTTCACCCTACGAAACGACAGGAAAACTTTATGGTTTGATTTCCATCGAAAGTTTCTCCCACTAAGCCATTCGTTAAGGAGAAATAGGACCGTGTTCAAACGAAATTCAATTGTTACGGACATTGCTCCCCGATCAAGTCCGGAATTGAAATTTTGCAAGAATTAAACAATTGTGGGTTGTTGAAAGTAACGGAAGACGGATCCGATGAGTATAATAATAATATATCTAAATATTGTGTTTGGAAAAAACATAGTATATTTTGGGACCTACCTTATTGGAGTTCTAATCTAATACGTCATAATTTGGATGTCATGCACATTGAGAAAAATATCTTCAACAATGTGTTTAATACAATTATAAATGTCCTAGGAAAAACAAAAGACAATGCAAATTCTAGAGAAGACTTAAAGCTATATTGTCGACGGCCCGAATTAGAAATAGATGAAAACTCAAGAGAATACCTAAAACCCCGTTATACTCCGGATAAACAACAAAAAATACAATTACTAGAATGGATTAAACAACTAAAGTTTCTAGACGGATATGTCTCTAACTTGGCAAGCCGTGTAGATATGAATAACCTCATATTACATGGCATGAAAAGTCATGATTATCATGTATTTATGCAAAGGCTAATACCTATTGCATTTCGTGACATGTTACCAACAAATGTATGGTAATCACCGATGAGCTTAGCTTATTCTTTAAAGAATTAACATCTATTGTGATTAAGGTCGAAGATATGATCCATCTTGAGGAAAATATACCAATAATCTTGTGCAAATTAGAGCGTATTTTCCCACCTAATTTTTTCGACTCAATGGAGCATCTTCCCGTACACTTGGCATATAAAGCAAAAATAGTCGAACTCCGTACAATATCGATGGATGTATCCATTTGAAAGGTACAAATTTATGATTTTAGTGGACATCGATAAGTTTATAACTCGTCAAATGTTGATTAAGTCTAATGAACTCACAATATTATTGTAGGTACCTCACAAATTAAAAAATAATGTTAAGAACAAAGCCGTAGTCGAAGGGTCAATATGCAATGCATATTTAGTTGAGGAAGCTTCAATGTTCTGTTCATATTACTTCGAGCCTCATATGCACACTAGGCATCGGAAAGTGCTAGAAACTTTGA